CCCTTCATTTAAAGGGTTGTTCTTCCTTACCAATTACATGTAATATTCTAGGTATTATTGAAGCTGCCTCCTGGGTGTCCAAAATACACAAAAAACTGCCACCAGTCACTCAGGAAAAAGGCAATGATTGATCTGTCGAGAGGTCCGGTACAGACTCTCCACTAATTCTAAACAATAAGCAGACCCCATATAGAGACCAGAGTCACAATCTGAGTGACTGGGATGACTGGCACCAGGAAGGCGATCATCTGGAAGAAAATAGCTCTAAGATTGTGTAGCGTATTCAGCATAGTATCTAATTGCTCCAGAACTAGATAATCATCACCTTTTCATCACCTTTCTACCTTGTGTGGAGCCTGAGACTGGACGACAACTGGGAAGTAGTCCGGCAACTTTAGTAGAAATAGTCCTTTGCAACAAACTGTTTATTATGAAGCAGCATCATTTTTTGCTTACTATTAAGAGAGCAGGTTTTTGAAGAAAGACCTTCGTGTAAACCTGGCCCTCCCTTTCAGCAACACATCCAACTTCTTTCTCCTTCTCTCTCTCTCTACCTTCACATCCAGTACTGAAAGACTGTGAAGTCTAATTTTATCTCACCAGGCTGTTGAATAATATTAAATAATCCCATTATGTCAAAATCACAAAAAGGGACAACAGAATATCGTGCTTGGAAATTGAAGGCTGACAAATTTATGCTATATGCAAGGTTCAAAATTATAACACTGGGAAGAAGAGTACAGTTTCATGACCTGCAGTGACTTAACTACCACCAAAAGAGGGAGCTCCCCCTTTTCCCAATCTACCCACTCTGTAACCTTTGCTCACGGCCACATGTTCCCATATCTTATCTTGTGGCAAAACAAGAGCACGGTGCACTCCTCTGTGAGCTGCTTTTAACTAAGGAGTCAAAAGAACGGAGCAGTCTTTTGCTGCACTAGGGTTTATCATAGTCACTCTATGAGGCAAGAGGTGAGTGCCAGCACGAGTACAGAGGACGGGAGGGGACCACACAGACAGGAACAGCGGAACAAGCAATCACTTCCTTCAGTGGTAAAAGCAATTAGATATACAAAGCTCCCTAACTGCCCTTGAGCGTAACTATGAGACTTGGAATGGACTCTTATCTCTGTAAATTTCAAGACAAGTGAAGATTTTCTTAAGCGAGGTAAGCTTCAATAAAAAGTAGAAATAATTCTAGGAGGTACTATAGACTGCTCTACATAGGAGGCCCGACTAGACAATGTTCCTTTAAGAACTTATTTACACAAATTCTAAGTACTACTAAAAAACAAGCACACACACACAGCTTTGCAACGTTCAGGCTAACGTATGAGTAGAGAAGTAATGACTGCTAACCCACTTCACGTGTTGCCTTCATTCAGGGGGTTACTGTGAATATCTCAGTAGCACAGCAAGACTGCTGAATAGATAGGAAGGTGGGGCCAAGCTTTCTGTCACTGCATTTCAACTAATTTTTGCTGATTTCTCTGGAAGCTCGCATTGCTCACAATCTCTCGGAAGGTTCTCAACAGATATCTGAATGTGCATGTTGTACATAGCTGGATCTACACACAAAGTATGTAACAAGTACTTACTGAAATAAAGATGTTAAGCAGGTTTTCCAGTGTTGGGAGCTGTGGAATCAGTTTCTGTACCACTTTGCTAAAGGCTTCAAATATAGAATGATCATATATGCTTGTCAGATAAAAGCTGGAAAAAAATGTCACCATATTTTCTTTTTAGCCACGTACTGTGAACATGATGTACCTTTCATATGAGTGAAATGAAATCTTGTCAAAACACCAAGTGCCTAAAATTATGCAATTCCCCCTTGTGATCAAAAGTTGCATGTTTCAATTAAACACAGGACTTCATACAGGAAACTATATATTGTTATGATTATATTTGGCACGATAGTACATATCTCTATACCCACAATTCTAGATGCTGCAATCTAGCACTTGATGTAGAATTTTATGATGCAGTTCCCACCTTGGTATTCCTAGGAAAGCATTTTTCACATCGCAGGAGAGCCACACTACCGAATCTGTGTGTTGTGATTTACATTTTTAAAGCTGTGGACTCAGTTAATAAAACAATGATGTAGTCAAGTTGTTAAAAGTTCTATGAGCCAGCATGTTCATGAAACAGGTCTATTTTTATTAATGCATTTGTACTTGGCTTTAAATCCTAAGAATGATATGAAACGACATGTCTGCAGAAATACATTATGCTAGCAAATAATAAAAAATAATCTGCTTTATCCACAGACATAACGCAGAGACACAGCATCTGTCTTCCCAAGTGGCTCTGAGCAGGCTGCAGCAGTGAGGACTAGTGGTTGGGAGGGGATTAAGAGGCAGAGGGATGCTTTCAAAGAAAGCAAAAGGGATGTGACTGGCAAATACACTCTACTGCCTGCTGCCATTTTCCAAGCTAATTTACTTCAAGATAGCAGCTGCAGCAAAAACTAGTAAGACTCAGGCCTATTCACCATCTGTTTGTAAGCACTTCCCTTCCCCATCTTTTTCTCCAGGACAGCTCCCAGAAAAATAATCCTTTGTTTGGCTCAGGTCAAATGCAATGCCTATGACTAAGCTCTTCCTTTATGCATCAAAGTCTTGTTGCTTGCTGCTTTAATAGAACAGAAAATGATAACTTGTCAGATAAGCTGCTCCCATCTTTGACTTAAGAATTTTTGCACAGCAACTTCTCTCACCTGAGGTGAATTTTCTCCAATCCAGCATCTGCAAGGTCATCATTTGCCCTCTGGTGAATATCTCTTTGCGTTTCAATCTTGTGGTCATCAGATAAGCCATCCACTTTATGGATAAAGATTTCAAAGTTGATGTCTGGATTCACTTTATAGGCTCTGGTTACAGTAAGATGCAGCCGAGCTAACGCTTCCATATAATCATCCTAATGATGGAAAAATAAAAGGTACAAGTGTAGGAATGTTTAAATTTTTTTTTTTTTTAAATTTCTGATGTTGTAAGTAGGAGCCTGAGCCTACATCCAGCATGTGCACTGATCTCATGCAGTCAGCACTTGCAAGTCCAAGCAAGAAGTTTGAGATATTAAAGCAAACTAGTTAACAGGTTTTGGACGTCCTGAAGAGAGACATTCAAAATAACTAAACAGTTCTTCCAGTTTTAATGACTTTCTTTAAATGTGTGTTTGTAACCGTAAGTTATTCATTTGCTTTAGAAAAATCTCTTTATGCTTTCCACTCTATTTCGCTATTGCTGAAAGAAGAAAAGAAAAAGTAGTTTAAATGTACCCCCTCTTTTTTTTTTTTTTTTTTTTTACCTGAGAATCAATAACAAATATCAGTGCTCCAGTGCCTCTGAAAATCATTTCATAGTCAAATGTAGGATCAAAGAAATCAATTTGCCCAGGAAAATCCCATATTTGAAAGTTGACAAAGGAGCTGTTGGAAACATCCTCTCTGCAGATCTTGTTTGTACTCTCCAAGAAGAGGGTCTCATTTGGTGACATTTTGTGAAAGACAACTTTCTGAATGGAAGACTTCCCACTTCTTCTCAATCCCATGAGCAGGATTCTTGGCTTAACTTCAGTACTGAAGGGATCATTGAAATCTAAAACTGAATGAAATAACAGAAGAAGAAAAACAGTATACTATACCAATATAATCACATACAGACATCCTACAATAGCTAATTTCCTTCTCCATCATAATCAGCTGCAGGTTTTGAGAGTATATTTTTGTGTAGTAAATGACATCATTACCATCCAGGTAAAGAATATACTCTCAACTAAAAGAATAGCACCCTTTTATGACCCTTCAGCAATTCTCCCACAGCAGTCTGAAGACTGACTGTTCAATAGCTTTTTACGCTAGGCACTTCATGACACACTAACTGGCATCATAACAAAGCGGGTGGGTTAGACCAACCAAGAAAACGGGATCTGACTGCAAACTCTCAGTGAGGTAATCTCAATGCAGTGTCCTCTTAGCTTGCAAGACCTGACCCTGACGTATGTAACGTTTTCAGTTACATACACTAACATGGGAAGGGGAGGTGGAGTTGCAGTTCTTTTTTCCATAATGTAAACCAACAGCGCGCTTCTCTGAGATTAAGCTAACAAAAAGTAGGGTTTAAAAAAAAAAAAATTCTTTACTGCTACAACTTAAAGCCTAGAGCCTAGACATGATAATGTTGCAAAATTCAGAAGCTACAAAAAAGCCTTTTCCCTTCCTTACCCCAGCATGGATTTTGGAGAAAACCTGATACATCTTCTCTACTGCAACTTAATATTCTTTTCCTCTTTAAGAATAGGTGGAATACTAGATACAATTTGATTAACATGTAGAAAATCAGTGCAAGTATAAATAATTTACTTTTGAATAATGGCAAATATACTCAATATTTGTGTAGTACATCCATCTGTATGACTTAACTGTATTTTTTTCTCCAAAACAGAAAATTAAATAGCTGGTTTATTTTAAAAATATAACTGTTGACTTGTAAATGAAATGGCAGGTTATATCTACGTTTATCTGAACATAAACAGGAGGTGGGAAAAGACCTTATGTTACAATCCTGATACAAAATAAACTCATATTTCTAGACAAAAACCTTGAAAAATGAAGGCAGTGGTTTTATACATACTTACTACTGTTTGGTCCAGAATGTATATAAATAAATAGATGGCATGCTGTCCTACAGTATCATGTGCAAACTGCCTTAAATTTTTTTTTTTTAATAATGTAATTGAAAATATTTAGTAGAAATAAAAAGCATCATAAAGGACAGATGCAAAGTACTGCTAAATACCATTTTCCAACTGTCACTGACCATTCTGAAAAAAATATCTTATTAAAAAGTATGTCAGTTTTCGCCTATGTTTCCAACTTTTCCATAGTATGCCTTTGGCAAGAGAGAGAAATAACATTCCTTCCCTCCAAAGGGGAAAGGCTTTGTTTTTTTGTGTTTTTTAAATCATGACTGTAGCAAATCATTCGTCTGATACAGAAAAGTTTTCTTCATATTATTCTGCCCTATCTGTTATTTCCGACTACAGGTTCGTAGAAATATGATGCATCATGATTAATGCATTCTCCTTCTTGGAAATCTCTGTAAAACTGCTCAGATGATTTATGTAAACTGTCCTTCTCTTATTACCCTGCACTGAGGCCTTCCAATAGCTCTTTTTCCCTGACTGTACCAGATACAAGCTCTCTCTGCTTTTCAGGTTCCCCGCAAGTTAGGCCTGCCAGATCCCAGCACAAAATAAATCCCTGTTTGTTTCCTGCCAGGAATGCTAGGGTATCTCCCGAGTTTATCTGTTCCTGTCACATCTTCTCTCCTGCTCCTCATATCTTTGGAAAGATCCCTCAATGATAGCCACAAAGATAATTTCGTATGAAGAGTCACCTCTAACAGAGGCCAGTATTTCCTGAAAATAGTTCAATAGTTAGCAAGAGGCTATTATTGCTGATTGGCTTATTTATTCTTATAAAACACGCTATTGTTTTCCTTTTCCCAGTCATCTTGCCCTATATGATTATTTTACACATGTCCTGTACTTGCTTCAAATTATGACCTTTTCAGGAAAGTCTCATTGAAAAAGGGTACAGAAATAGGCACTATATAGAACTAAAAATCTCAGATGTGTATGATTCCAAAGCTAGAGGTGCTCCTTACAACATAATTAGAGAAAGTAAACCAGAAGCGTGCAAGTTATTTTCCCACATTTTTGGATAAAAGTCTTCAATCCTACCAAGCTTGTCCACCTTAGCAAGGGGGGAAAAAATAGTAAGATTGCCCCAACACAGAATTATCTCATCTCTGTTAAATTCTCATTTTATGAATCAGTCTTTCCATCCATAATTTCTGTGTTCAGCAATTATCATAAAAAGTTAACACCAGAAGTAAGCTTCTTTTTGTATCAATAGGCTCTTGTTCAAGCAATTGACTTAAATCTGTTTACGAAAACAAAACTAGTAGCATTTTCCTCTCCCACCCATCTCTAAAAAATCTGCATGTGTATACTTGCATGTGGTATCTGTGCAAACTCAAATTTCAAAACATGCAATACATATCAGTACTAAAGTGATTCTAATAACACAATTCTACATAAGTCTCTAGCTCAGCTTTAAAACATTCTCATCCAATTACAAATAGCCTTGACAATAGATAGTTACAACATGCTGCAGGAAAGGAGGAGTGAGTTTGTGTTAGTTAAATGTGTGAACTCCGAAAGCCACAGGAGGGCTTCTTTCCCTTAAGAAACTGGACATCCCAGAAGCAATGGGAAGCAAGAGGTCAACTCAGCAGGTATGCACTTCCTCTGCAACGGGACTTACAAAATAGTACTGGGCTCATGGGGAGTTCATTTCAAAGGTGGTTAGGATTTCAAGTGCTATTGAGTAATTAGTCTTAAACTCTGTAAGAGGTTCTTCTCCAATAAATATGATTACAGCACGCCCCCTGCCAAGCTGCAAAACAAAAGCCTGGGAACACACCAATTTCTTATGTTACCTACCCTAGTTTGAAACAGGTATCACTAAGATGGAACTTTTTTCAGTGTCCCTACAGTTATACTAGTGTTACAGTACTTCCGGGAATAAACTATACTGTTACATCCATAAGGACATAAATAGATAGCTATCCACACCTGGGGCGTACCAGGTACGCCTCTAGGCCTTAGAGTGGCCCTGTGACTTTGAAACGTCCTTTGATACCAAGCTGAAAATGGTAGCGTATGTGAACATAAAAAGCTTTCAAACACTCCTGTGATATCCTGTCTGCAGCGTCAAACACAAGCAACAAGACCCGAGATGCCAACGCTAAACCTGCGCGATAAGGCTCACAAGCACACAGTGGTCAGGTTTAAACAACTATCAGACTGCAGGCCAAACACACTAGCTGTCAGCCAGAACCAGACTTCTCTCACTATTTGCGTAATAGACTATTCAACATAAATTCAGAGCACAAAACAATTATTTTTCTTTCTCCTTTTCTGCTGAGATGAGTTTTGAGTCACAGAAGAGTGGTGCACACATCTGTTCATACACATGTCCTTCTTGCATATTCTCAACACACTTTAGTGATCAATTCTATTCCAAAAGTACCAAAATACAAGTGAAGCAGCTTCAGGAACAGCAATCTAAGTTTTGATCCTGTAGTTCTTGGACAGGGAAATGCACTTAAGTTATGTGGAGTTCTTCTCAAGTTAAGACTGTTGATCAGGAAAAGCTAAGTTGGGGAAAGACAACGAGCAAGATACCTAGAAGAAAACTTGGCAAGGAAACAAAGTTTATTAAGCTTTCTATCCCCTTCTTATCACTCCTCCCACTCACTCTTAGAATAAGTTTATATTTATTGAGAGTCACTTGAGAGTCAGTTATCTTCGTATTACTGATTTCTTATTAACCTAAATATTTTCATTATTTAGATTAGAAATGGATTTCAAATAGATACTCTAAGGTTTTGATGACTGGGCCAATCCCAAGTTTTAAAGTAACGGAATGATATCAGTCCCAGCCTCATCGTTCAGCTTTAAGAGGAACAAGAAAGCAGGAGTTAACTTTCAAGTTGTGTTAAGAGAGAGATCAGGACCATTTCTAGTCACGAATTATGATTAAGTATAACATGGCGAAAGACTATAGCCTAGCAATTCAGTGCAGCGTCACCACTACAGAAGTTAAAGCTACACAATAGATGCTTCTAGGTACTAACGTTATTAAACAGATGTTTTATTCACAGTCAACATCTCAGCAGAGGGGACCCAGAAAAGAGCCTGTCCGTTTATGACAAAACTCAATGGGCTGAAAAACATGGAAAACGTGAAGGAATCTTTTGCACAGGAGCGCGCTTCACATCCAGAAGCGATGATCAAATTTGTATTCTGTTCTTCAAGCCTCACGCACAGCTTTTAGAAACACAAGGGGAAGATGTGCGTCAGGAATGAAAAAAACCTTGGTCATGTCCATTTGTACCTCCTGAGTCTTAGTGACCCAAGAATTATGGTTTCACAAGTAAAGGTCTTACAATGTTAGCATGAAACATCCCTTTGGCACCATCTAGTGGCTCATGAGTGGGTACGCCACTCAGTCTGAGCCCGTGTCACTACAGTGACTGACACAGCGCTGAGAACTCATTAACTCTAGGATCCTACGCATTTTAAGTACATTTGAAAGGCCTTGACATGTATTACCACATACTGTGCTCTTGTTAATTATTATCTGTGAAACACTGTCAGGTTGGAGCAGTGCACAGATGAAACCCTTTCAAGCAAAATAGCTGCAGGAGGTGATGTCGGTAACTCAGTAAACTGAAGCCCATCCTCCTAATGAAGCACAGCCAACTTTTGCTAATTCACCGGCAACGATATCTAGATAAGTAATAGGCTGCAGTCAACACACTGCTCTACTGCTCCTGTCAACCTGAACAGTAAGAACAGCATCTTTCTGTGACTGGAAAAAAAACGTGCCACAATGCTTCCCCACTTATAGAGGAGTAATAAGCCTTTGCTGTAGGATGATGTGCTACAGTACTTTCTGTTTTGGTGGCTACTGTCTTGTCGATAAAACAAACCCAAGATGCAGGATTTAACAGTGTTTCCTCCACCCCACCCTTTCCTTCAACGCACAAGTTCTCTACAGCTGCCAAATATATAGCCACGATTTCATTAACGTGCACATATCCATCTACCCTGCAATTTGTAAAACATTTTGGCCATCAGAAGGGAAAATAACCTATTCAAAGCTTTACAAGTAGCAGTTTGAATAACACACTTTATAACAGCCTTTAAAGAACAGCCTTCTGGCTGATGCTTTATTGCATTTTTCAAAGAATTAAACTCAAACTCACTCTGTATGCAACAGAACTTACAAAGTCTAATTTGCTATGGATTTGTACTTTATGTCCCCTTCCCACCACAATAACCCCAACTTCCCCCATGTATCTTATGACGACACATCCTCCAAATAACAGATATAATATGCTGTGGCTGATCTGGAGCTAAACACATGTCAGTTGGCTAGCCAGTTCACACGTGTGCTCTGGTTAGCCAACTGCTGCCAAAGAGAACACGTACATCTGCTCAAAGAGGCTTTCATTTCTGTCTCTCTCCTCCTCCCTAATACCAGTTTTCAGACTGGTAGGAACTTAATTATCTTTGAGACTTTTCTCCTTTCTTTCATATTTGGTTGAAAGTGGCCGGCAGTTACCAAAGTTCGGATAGGTGATGAGAAAGGAACAGGAAGACACACAGGCTAGCTTCATAATCCCCTTTTCTTCAAGGGTTCAGGTCAACACCTCACACGCAATTTAAAAAAATGGTTTAAATAACTTGGAGGTTTACACTGTTTTTATATTAAATTTTTCCAAGCTTGCACATTTTTATGAACCAGAACGCTTACTAACAAAGAACTGCTTTATACTACTGCTTTATACATACTGAAAAAAAATACAGTTGCAAGTGCAAGTAGTTATTAAAGAGTAAAATGAACATCAGCTCTTTTGCTAGTCAGATGTTATTTAGACTTTGAAATTCTGCCCATTCAAAGATCAGGAAATGTAAAAGGATATCATCCAAACCTAAGACTAAATTGCAAACGCTATAGCACTTTCCTTTGAGAGAGATTTAGAGATTACCTTATATGTAAAGGAACTGCACGATACACTGCCTGCCCACATTCCTTTGCAAAGTACATGACAACTCCTTCTTTAATTTGCCATGGAAATGCCAGTCGATGTATCACTGCAACTTCCCAGACAAGGTTACAGAGCATGATTGTAATATGAATAACAGAAACACTATTTTCTATTCTGTAATGAGAAAGATAATTTTTCCCATTGTTAGCTGAAACACATTTCTTATTTCATTCATTTTTGCACAGAGAAAATGTCAAGTTTTAACCTTTATGTACAGGGGACATACCACTCCTAAACTTTCCACTTATGTACCTTCAAGTCCATTTATCTTCTGCAAATTCCAGGATTACTGTGACTGTAATATTTCCAGCACATTACAGTGCTGCCAAGACAATAGTCTTAGAAAGCACATACACTGAACATCTTCAACGGTAAGAGATGGCCTGAGCCTAAAGAGTTAACAGAAAAAGCTCGTATGCAATCAAGAAAGCTGTTCAACTACTGTCGGTTTACAAACATTGCAGAAATGCCTGGTGGACGGAAATTCTTGTGGCTAAAGAAGAGACTCGGAACCAAAAGACCTGGTTCTACTCTGCCACAAATGGTGCACTCTGCAAGCATATGACTTAAAGCTACTTCCTCAGACACTATGCAGAAGATCTCCCCACTTGTAAATACTTTTTAATTGCATATATCAAGAAGATGGCTAGGTTTGACATAACACTAAGTGCCTTTAAGGTATATTAATATGACCCCACGTGTAAAGTCAGAAGACTGAGGAGGACAAGAGCACTGGTTTCAGCATTCAAGTGGGAGATAAGAACAAGTATGGGGTAAGAGAGGACCAACAGCAAGCTTTGAAATCTCCCATGTGCCTACAAGCACAATTTATTTTTTTACTTTTATGCCTGGCTTCTTCCTTCCTTCAATAGCCATGCATAGAAGCTACTAAGTTACTCTCCTTTTGTTGCCCTTTCTGTTCTTTCTATAGAGAAAAGTGGAGTCTGTGACACTGAATTTTGCGCTATTTACTGCGCAGATCTAGGAAGAGATGAGACAGAAACTGAGAAAAGCCCCTTCCCCTGCAGCCAACTCAGTGTTAAATACACAAAACTCTGATCCAGATCCCAACCCCCTCTCTTAAATATGCTCTAACCCTCATCCTCCAGAGACTTTAGAAGCAAACAGAAAGTCAGTAGATCTGGACAGTTAAAATGATCCTTTGTTTTCATCCTGGATAGGAAGAGGTCTCTGCATGGACTGTCTTGTCCTGCTCTTCTGGATATAAAGGCTTGTGTTTTTATTGAGTACAAAATTCTGATGTTCCTCTGAAGAAATTTTTTAATTTTCAGCAATTCAACAAGGTTCCTGTTGAAAAATAGGCAAATAAATTCCTCTGAGGACAGAACGTGGATTACTTCCCTGTAGTAAATACTACGTTAGCTTAGCATGAAATAAACAAGCTAAAATACATTCTCCTTGCATCAGAATAAAGGCAATTCCTTAGTAGTTTCAAATAAGAGTTTAGTCAGTCTCCGCTACAGCTTTACATCCTGGCATGCTGCATACCTAAATCTACACTATGGAGGCATAGCATTCAAAACACCAAGGGGAATAACTTTTTTGCTTCTCACCTTGAAGTTGTATTAGTCAACACAATACCTCCCGTGGCAGCTTGTGAGAGTGGGCCTTTAGGAAGAAGGGTTCTAGCAGGCTAATAATCAGAGTAACCTTAAAACATGGCCTTTTATTATGCTTTTACAAGAAGAAGCAATTTTTTTTTTCACCCTGATATATCCAGAGTTCTCCAAGCTCCTTTGTGAAAAAATACGTCAGAAGGATGAATTCACATTGTGAATGAAAGCAACAGGCACTGAGCTGGCATGCCTTTTTACTGAATGAGATTGCTTTTCCTGGTAAACCTGTCCTTTCTAGAATCATCATCCATATTGTCACAGATGTGCAACGAATAATATGGGTCCTCATATGTACAGACAACAGACATTTAGCAGAGTATACCGCTGTGGGGACTGACATTCACAGCTGCAGAGCAGCCCTGGATACAGAGCTGTGCGCTGCTGCTGCCTTTTATAGCCTGACACCCGTTCCCACCCCC